GGTGTGGGTCTTGCTTGAGTCTTTTGATCTGTCAGACTTTTGATTAGCAGCCAAATGAGCATTTTAACAACTGTACCACCAATGCTTATTCCACACTTATTATTGTATTGTACCATGGAGACGGAATAGTCTCATAGCTGACCCGCCGGTGGGTTTTCAGAGGCAGTTCATTGCATGGGAGGAAATTGCACATCTTTTTGGCATAGAGCAGTTGGTGGATTCAAACTGTATGCCTTTGGGTTGGCAGTATAACTCATTACCACTCATAGCATATATTTTGGTGGGAAATAGTTCATTCTGTAACAGGTGGAAGCTGAGTCCTATGAGTTTCCTGCTGTTAACTCCTAAGATTCTCTTCCTTTAAAAAACCGTCCAAAACTAGAAATTTATCTTTTGGATACTCTTGGACATATGTCCGTAGGTGTATGTAGAATGGCCTCCATTATTACACTTTTAGAATGTGAAATGAGTGGAAGCTATGCACATTTTTGTCAGTAGGGGATTGGATAAAGAAATTATGGTATACCCTTATATTGTATTATTGTACTTCATCCATTTGAAAGAGAAGGGGGGGCATTCTTTATAAAATGTGCAAAAAGTTACAAGATAAATGTTGAAAAAGCATGGTGCATAGCATCATATATTGCCTATGTGAATAGAACAGACCTGTTGTTATAATTAGTTGCTGTGGTTGATTCTGACTCACAGTGACCCTAGGCACTGTTCATAAAGTTCTCAAGGGATTATGGAAGCAGATTACCAGGCCTGTCCTCTGGGGTGCCTCTAGGTGGGTTCAAACTAACCAATCAGCTGGTAATTACCTAGCAAGGAAGTACTTAAATATTTGCACCAATCTTGGACTTCTAAAACTGAGACGTTTACCTCTACTAACCTCAAGAGGGGAAGTAGACAGCTGGGAAATAGAAGAGAGACTTCTCAGACTTTCATATCTTTTGAACCATGCAGCTGTACTTTTCAAAACATAAGTATAAGTGAAAACAGAAAACACTTTTAAAATTGCTTTTATGAGACTGAAGCATTCTGGGCAACGTAGGGGAAGAGGAAAGCAAACTAACCTTCATTGCACTTCACTGTGAGATGGTCTTTGGTTAGTTGGGAGACGTAGCCATCCTTGTTTTTATAGATTTAAAACTAAAGCTTTTGGAGAGTTAACATACTCCCCTATAGTGCTCCAATTAATTACTTGAAGATCTATCTTGGTTCTTTCTGCCCAACCCCTTCTCCCCATCCCCATTTCCCCTTCCTCCATGCTGCAAGTAAGATGGGCAAGGTCAGTGGAGCTGAGGATGGCCTGGAGGGAACTATGCAGCTCTGCATTTTTTTTCAGGGGCCTGCCTCTGGGCTGCTAGAGTCCTTAAGTAGAGCCACATAGTCTGTTTACTGTTAGACCTGGGTTTAGTAATCTGTTTTTGGGAGGCAGCCTAAACAACAGTCATTCTGTGGCCCCACCTCCTGGCTGCAAGGCGAGGTGGTGCCTGCTTGTGTGCTTAGTGCTAGGTGTCAAATGCACTGTCTTTGCCTGCCAGCTGGATGCTGGCTGGGAAGCTGTTGTTTTTCTGATTGTCAGACCCAGGCTCCTTACTTGCACTTAGAGGAAAAAAGCATCTAAACCCTGGTACAAAAGGTCCTCTTTTCATCTCTTTGGAAAAAGAGCAGTGAATGAGCTCATTATCACGCAACTCAAAAAGAAAGAGGAGGAAGGGGGAGGGAATAGAAGACAGGCAACCCTGCCTGGCTCTGCCCTGGCCAGGTTTCCTGGGGTGGGGGATTGGATTTGGCCCACAGTGACCAAAGCCAGATGGCTGGGACAGGTGGTCCATGCAGGGGGTAATGCTGGAGACATTTGGATGGTTTAAGAACTCTCTCTGTGTGCCCTAAAGGAAGGTGGGGGTCTGTGACCCTTCTCACTCATTCATCTTCCATCATTTCATTCAGGTTTATGTGCTCACCCCACATTGACTTGCACAGGGGCTGGATTCTTTGTGCAGGTGCTGTGCTTGCCGAACTCTAGAAATCGTCCTCGCGTTCTGGACCAATATGTCAAATAGCTACCAAATGCTTACTCTTTCCCAGGCACTGCTCTGAGGTCTCAGGTGTTGCACAGAACCAAACTGTCAAAGTCTCTCCTTTCTATCCTGATGGAATTTTATGCCTGTGGAAAAAGAGCTACTCCAGGGGAATAACTGGGACCACTAGCAAAATATGCCTAGTCTAGCCTGCTCCTGCCTCTTCTTCCCAGTCTCTGCTTGGGGTGGGGGGATGGAGAGGAAGCTGCTGGGGGAGGGGAGGTAAGAAACACATAAATGCCTTGGAGAGGGAGGCTCTGGCATTTTTAGCAGCTGAACCCAGGCTTTCACCAGCCAGGTTCCTTCTGAGCACAACTTCAGACCCCATTAAGGCTGTGTGACAAGAGAAGGGCTTTTGTAGATCTGAGCAGCAGAGTTCTGACACCTTGCAGGATGGTGCTGGATCTGGGGATCATCTAAGCTACCCAGAGGTCAGTGCCCATTGGACTTAGATGGTGAGCTGGTGATGTATAACTGTAGCCTGATGGCCTCTCTTTTTTGTTCCTTTTCCTCTCTTTCAGATTGAGAAAATCATGAGTTCTATCGGAGAAGGGATTGACTTTTCTCAGGAACAGCAGAAGTTTTCAGGTACTGTACCTATCAGCTATTTTCTCTGTAGAACATAGACCTTGGGTTCTTTTCTGGCTCAGGTTTTTCTTTAACACAGAAGACAGCCAGTTAGGGAGTGAGTGAGTACAGATCATGTCACACTCTGGTAGTTGCTAACCTCAGCTAAGAAATTTCGGAGTTTTAAAACCATTGGAGGGGAAAGTGTACAAATACAATTAGGCTGCCTATTAGGACTTTTAAAAACATGAAAAATTGTTAATAATTGTTGGTGTTGGTTTTCTCAAGTTGGCTTAAACTGAAGTTACTTCAGTGATTGTCTCCCGGCTTCTCAGGGGTCCCTGGGGCTGTCTCTTTGGGAGAACATGGTACGTGTTTGCCTGATCCCCAGTGATGCCAGAATGTTGGGTTAAATCAGTGACCTCTCATTTGAATGGATACTGAGTCATTTGGAGCGATTGGCATTGTTTGCATCTCCATGCGCCTGTTTTTCCATTCTTCAGTTTACTTAGTCACTTATTTTTACTCTATTATACCTCACCTACTTTGGCTAGTCTTTTCATTGCTAACTAAGCCCTAGGGTAAAGCCTGTCTCTTGTTTCTTTTTTTTGGAACAAGAGAAGCTAGATATAATATTCCAGTGAACTGTTTCACTTGAACACAAGATTGTGATTGGATTTCCTTATCAGGTGAAGAAGTGCTTAAAGATACCTCTCTGAGGAACACTGAACTTCCTCCAAATACCTGAAGGTAGTTAGGTCACCAGGGCTGAAAAGCAACTCTATAGGGAGCCTGGCATCTCCCCACATGGAGGAAAAGCCTCTCTGCACTGAAGGGGTGGCTTCCTAGCTCATTCAGGATGCTCCATCCAGGATTGATTTGTATGCCTCAGGTGCCGCCTCTGGTTCCTCCATGCACTCATGCCCAAGGAGAAGTTTTGATGGATGGAAGAGAACATGCAAATAGGATGAAAGGAACTGCAGAGGCCATTGGTCATAAATGAAAAAGCATGGGCTTTGGAACGTCACAGCCCTGGGTTCATATCTTGCCTCTAAATGCATATATAATTTTGACAAGTCACTTAATCTCTCTGAGCCCTTCGATACCATCCATATAATTTGAATAATGATCCCTAGGGATCACTAACCGTAGGGTTTATTGTGGATGGGTAATATATACAAGCACTTGAGCTACAGGGGTGATTAGTAAATGATAGTTATATTTGTTTCTATCCTCAATATCTTTACTTAGAAAACATAGGATATAGGAACATCTTTTCTCCCTCCACCATTTCTCAGATCTGATATCTGGAGTCACCTTGCCTCAGCAACTTTGTTTCTAGGCCGCTAGTAAAGAGGCCTAAGCTGGGTTTGACTTGTCTCTGTCAGCCTTGGATTATGCTGGAGTCCTCATAGGTGACTCATCTGGTCAAGAGTTTGTTGGGGATCTCGGTGGCCTAGTGGCAAGGAGCTGCAACTACAATCCCAGAGGCACACGGTTCGAACCCACCAGATGCTCTGCCGAGGAAGGAGAGACAATATCCTCCTGTACCAGTCAGATCTGATTTGACGGTACACGTACACAAAAATAATAAAGTAAAAAAAATTAAAAAAAAAAAAGAGTTTGTGCATCAGTTTCCAGGCAGTTGCTTACACTTGGTCAGGCAATCTCATGCTGCAGGAACTGTTTTGCAAACTATTCCAAGAGTCAAGCATTTGTTGAGAATACATGTTTAAGACTGAAACCATTGCCATTTCCAGAGCTGCACAGTGGAAACAGCCAGGAATGGAAAAAATAGTAGTCAGTATAGTTGAAGCCACTTTCTACTTCCATGTGCCCCTCTATATCCAAGGAGCAGGAGCCTAATTTCACTTGCCTGTCCTTGAGAGTATCTGATTCCACCCACCACTTCTTCCCCCTTTTCTCATACTCCTCAAATCCATCTAAGTTGTTAGCATTAATCTGACTATACCCCTGGGTTTCTGAATATCAGCAATCTAATCCTTTTTTTTCCTTCCTTTAAATTTTATTTAAAGGAAAATATACACCAATTCAGTTCATTTATTCATATCCAATTTAGGAACATTGTTTATATTTTTCAAGTTGTATACCTCCTTCAGGTTGTCTCACCCTGATTATGTGAATTCTTCATTACCAAACTCACTGCCCTCAAAGTGTCAAATCTAACCTTTTGAATATATTGTCAATTTGGTCCCATATAGATGATTCTTAAAAGAGAATAATGCTCAAGACAGACTTAAAAAACAAAAAAGTCAAGCCTTTTCCCATTTTTAGTAAAACTTTAGAAGATATTTTGGTTTATAATTTAAGGATTATCTCAAGGTAGTAGTTTTCAAGGATCATTAATTCCCTATGGCTTCAGAAAGTCTAAAGTCCATGACAGTTTGAAATACTGTTTGGCATTTGATCAGGATTCTTCTATGGAATCTTTGAGCAAAATGTTCAGTCATAGTAGTTAGACATCATCCAGTTCCTCTGGTCCAGTGGCAAAGGGAGCAGTTATTCATGGACATAATTAGCTGCACATTTCATATCTTTCTCCTCCTATCCCTGACTCTCCTCCTTTGTTGCTCCAGGTAAATAGAGACTGACCACTTATTGTGCCTTGGATGGCCAGTTATAAGCGTCTAAGACTCCAGGTACTACATGAGTATAGACCAGAAGCACCCAGGCGATTTAACTGGAATGTCCCATGAAACATTAACCCAAAAAATCTCCAAACCAAGGAGCCAAATCCCATGAAGCATTTGGTTATAGTAAAGCAGCTACTTTTTCCCCCCTCCATTTTTGTTCTATGTATGTTTCATGCAGCTTTTGCAAATTCAACTTTTTATAGGTATAAACTTTCTGATAGCAATTACAGTAAACTCCTGTGCACATTTACCCTTAATCAGTGAGGTGGGTTTTTTTGTGTGTTTTTTTCCTATCACCATTAGCCCTTTTTCTCTCCACCCCCATCCCTGGCAACCACCAATGAACTTCGGTCTCTATGTATTTGCCTGATTTTTTTAAAATGTAAGTAAAGTTATATTATGTTTGTCCTTCTGTGATTGATTCCTTTCACTCTTCAAGCTCCATCCATACTGTAGCATGTATCAAGACTTCATTTTTCTTACCGGCTGAGTAGTATTTTGTTGTGTTTAGGTAACTCATTTTGTTTGAGTAACAGGGTTATGTTTGTTTCATAGAATGAATTACGAGTGTTCCTTCTTTCTCTGTCTTTTGGAAGAGTTTAGATAGAATTGATGTTTGGTAAAACTCCTCCAGTGAAGCCATCTGTTCCTGAACTTGTTTTTATTGGAAGTTTCTTGATCCTTGTTTCAATCTCTTTCCCTCACTTCCCCTTTCCTCCTTTCTATAAAGATCTCTTTATTTTTTATGAGTCTGTTCAGACTTTGAGATTTTATATTTTCTCTTGAGTCAGTTTGGGAAGACTCTGTGTGTCTGAGAGTTTGTCCATTTCGTCAGAGTTACCCAGTTTTGTTTCTATACGGTTGTTCATATTATGCTGTCCTAAGTGACTTTTACTCTCAGGTCAGTTGTAATATTCTTTTGTTTTGCTTCCCCAGTTTTCTGTTTTTGAAAATTTCTGCTCTGATCCTTGTTGTTTCCTCTCTTTGGTAACTTTGGGCTAAATGTGTTCTTCTCTTTCTAGTTCTTGGAGTTACCAAATCAATTCAGACTGTTATTTTGCCATCTTTCCTTTTTTAAATGTAGGCATTTATTACTCTAAGTTTCCCTAAGAGTGCTGCCTTTGCTGCATCCCGTAAATTTTGGAATGCTGTGCATTCATTTTAATTTGACCTTAAGAAAGTAACTCATTGGTAGTTTAGTAGTGGTGTGTTGTTTAGTTTCCATGTTTATCTATTTTCCAGGTATTGTCCTTCTGTTGTTCTCTAGCTTCACTCTTTTATAGTGAGGGAAAAAAGTGTTTTGTATGATTTCAGTTCTCTTAAAATTTGTCAGTACTTGTTATGTGACTTGAAGTGTCTTCTGTCCTTGAGAATGGTCCATATCCATTGGAATAGAATATATTTTCTATTTCTAGGGCTTGAGTGGAGCTCTGATGGCCTAGTAGCAAGAAGCTATGCTGTAATTGTAAAGACACACAGTTCAAAGCTATGAGGCCACCAGTTGCTCCATGGGAGAAGGATGGGCAGTCTCCTCCCATGCAATTAACTGCCTCTGAAAACCCTCTAGAAGGTCAGCTATGGTTCTAACTTGACGGTACACAACAACAACAGGGATTGAGTAGTCTATGTATGTTTGTTAAATATAGTTGGTTTATGATATCATTCATGTTTTCTAGTTCATTGACTATTTTCTTTGTATATGTTCCGTCCAATATGGAAAGTAACATATTGTCATGTATCCAACTATTATTTTGACTATTACCATTAAAGTCAGTTTCAACTCATGGTGACACTCCATCAGGTTTCTGAGATTGTTAATCCTTGTGGGGACATATTGCCTTATCTTTGTCCCTTGGAGCAGCTGGTGGTTTTGGACAGCCAACCATTTAGTCAGTAACCCAACACTTAACATTCTTTAACACCAAGATTCCTTAAACTATTATTATAATACTATTTCTCCCTTTGATTTTATCAGTGTTTGCTTTACATACTTAGTTGCTCCCATGTTGAATGTGTGTATGTGTGTGTATATATATGTATTTGTTGTCATGTTTTCTTGATTAATTGATCCTTTTATCACAATATAAAGTTCAGCTTTTTCTCTTCTGACAATTTTAGTCTCTAAAGTCTACTTTAATATTAGGATTGCCACTTTAGGTATATTTTGGTTATTATTTTCATAGAATATCTTTTTTCTATCCTTTTAACCTCTTTGTGTCCTTGAGCTTAAGGTATATCTCTATAAACAGCAAAAAAAGATGGTGGTAGGTGGCTTTTTGCCTCGTTTTTAAATTCGTTCTCCCACATTGTCTTTTGTTTGGAGTATTTAGTCCATTTGTATTCATTGATAATAAATTACTTTAAGTTTTGTCTTTGTCCTTTTGTGTGCTGCTTGCTTTTTTGCTTTGTTGGTTTATTATCTTTTTGGTTCCCTTCTCCTTTCCTGTTATACATGTTTCTTAGCAGTTAATCATGAATTTTACTATTAAGAGCTTGTATTTATAACATTCTGAAGTAATTTGGAAGGTGACTTGGTGGCACATAACAACAACATCAAAGTAATTTGGTACCAATTTAGCTTCAGTGACATTAAAGAAATTCTATACCTATATCATTCCTCTCCTCTGCCTTTTGTTGTTATCACTAATTTTATCCTTGCCTTCGTATATTTGTTATTAAGGAAGCATGGACAAAACATTTATAATTACCAAGCATAAATACTTTATTGCTAATCCAGATATTTGTCCGTGAATTTCTCCTTATTAGAGATGTTTCTTTATGTAGGATGTCTGGTGGCATAGTCCATTGAGAGCTGAGTTGCTAGCCAAAAAGGCCATGCCTCTCTGGTAGTTCAAATCCACCATGCTCCATGGGAGAAAAATGAGTAGTCTCCTTTTGTCGTATTTATAGCCTCCAAAAACCTTATGGAGAGTCAGCTGGCTATACGTTGGTTCTGATTCAGCAGCAGTGACTTGACTTCCATTTAGGTGTTATAGCTTTAAATAACTGTTTAGTATCTTTTCCCTTCCATCTACAGAACTCTCATTAGTGTTTTTGTAGGACTAGACTGGTGAATGTAGACTTCTCAGCTTCTATCAGGGAATGTTTTCATTTCACCATCATTCTTGAAGTACAGTTTCGCTGACTATAGTTATTCTTCGTTGAGTTTTGTGTTTCTGTGGTAGCTTCCCTCCCCCACCCCTCACTCTTCATGCCATTGTCTGTCTGTCATTAGTCTGAGGAAAAATTTGTAGTTAGGCTTATTGGGGATTCTTTGAATGTTGAGAACAATCTACTTTTAACGGTTATTGATTTGAATCAGCCTCCCTACCCCATCTTAAGAATGGCAAGAGAGTGTGCCCAAGGGAAGGGGGGCTGTCTGAACAGAGACTGTGTTGAGCCATGCTACAGAGTTCCCGGCTCAGTGTCTGCTCTACTGCCAGGCTGTGATCATGGAGAGGGCAGACAGGTCTGCCTGTGGCACTCCGTGTTCTTCCGGAGGAAGCTTTCCACAGGGTCTCAGGGAGCAGCATCCTCCAGCTCAGACCACAGCCAAATGACTATTTATTTTGAGTAGTCAGTTTCAGGGCTCAGCTTATCCCTAGGTTTTAGGATTGGGAGAAAAGGCCTGAATTGAGCACAAGAGCAGGTCATCCTGCTCACAGTTCTTCACTAAGCACTGAGATGGCCCAGTTGGAACTGGTCTTGTATGGTTTTCTCTTCTCAAAAGCAAAACCAGAGTGCTTGTCCAGTCCTGTTTTGGGGACAGTGGTCCCTGTGTTGCCATCACCAGAGCTAGTTATCATACATGTTATCTCCACAGACATGTTTTACAATTTACCCCTCTGCCACCTCACACTCTCAGCATTCAGGGAAAAGCCTTCCCACTGGCCTGGCCACTCTGGTTTGTTTCATCAAAGGCCAGTGCCTGTGGAGCAGAAAAGAATTACTTGATAGTCTTTTACCAAAGGCGCCCACTTTAGCTATTGAATAGCTGTTACCTGTTCTCTTCTTAAACAAAACCATTCTTTGCCAGTGCTCGTCTACACCTTCATGGGCTATGTATATCTGCCAGCATATTTAGATGGTGGCATATGATTCCTGAATTTTTATCCATGCGTACAAATGGCTTTTATCTCTCTGCAGCTGTGTTTGAGATTCAGTCCTGCCTGCTTCTCCATGTTCTTGGTCCTTCCCCTCTGGTATCTTCCTCATCCAGATTGGGAGTGGGTGGCTGTTCTGAATGAGTTCTTTGTCCCCTGGGCTCCTCTAACAGGCCCGGAGAGAAGTCTATTTCTACGTGTTTGGCATGTGCACCTGATGACTGTCAGGTGTGAGAGCCTTATTTCATTGGCTGTTTTTGTTACATCTCACAGTTTACTTTTCTTGACAAGGAGGCACAAGGATTCTGGAAGTGGCAAGTGGGGACACTTACCTATGGGCTGTGCATTTGAGGTAGGGTCATTCCTCTGTCCCCTCTTCTGACTGTCCTGTTGGTCAAAACTCTAGAAACACCTCCTTCTTTTTCCTTTGTGATAATCCTTGAAGAGCAGTTTCCTGCCCCTTGAGCTGTAGGTAAAGTTTGACCGTCTCTGTCTTTTCATTCATGTTGTCAGCTCGCATCAGTTCTTGGGAAACCTGTCATTTTGCCTGACGCTGGCTCATTCTTTCTTAGCAGCAGCAAGAGCAGCAGCAGCAGCTTCTCTGATGTCCGATCCCTGATGCATTTTCCTGAGTGTGGAAGGGAGGAGGGCGGGAGGGGGGTTGAGGGGGAGGGCCAGGCATTATGAGAGTGAGCAATGACTGTGGAACCGGCAGCAGGCAGCGTGGAGCCCAGGATCTTTTAGACAAAGCATTCTGCTGCGGATCTGTGAGCGTACACATCTACTGGCGGCAGACAGGACCACAGCTGCCCAGCTGGGCGATTATAAGCAGAAATGAATCAGCAGCCAGGGACCCTTGACTTTGTGGGCATATGTGAGCCTGCCGCGTAGGTTCCTGGAGCAGAGCCTCTACTCAGCTAACCCCCAGGCTCAGCATCTCGGAGCGCTGCTGCAGTGTGCACTGGAGACACCCGTCCCCTGACCATCATCAGTTCGGCAGAGGACAGAGGAGGGGCTGGAGCTGGGACTGCTGGTCACGAAGGTCTCTTAGATAGCCAAGCAAGTTGGCACTGTCATGCCTGGAGGGGCCCAAAGTGCCCACGGATGGCAGCATGACTTTCATCATGTCAGGAGTTCATTGGAGGTGATGTTTTTTGTAGTTGGATCTTCTTTTTCCTTCCTTATACGTCTTTTCCTCCCTTTCTCTTTTTTCATTCTTTTATCTGTTTTCAACCATGAGAAGCAGAATCGGCTGACAAGAGAAGTAGGTGGGGGTTAAGGCATTCAGCTAAGAACATCCAAGGTCTACCGGGAAGTGCTGAACTTTATTCCTCCCTGCACTACCCCAACCCCCGTCTTAACTGAGGAGCACAGCACATCGGTGTCCGCCCTTCTCTACTCATCATTCAAGGAGACAGTCAATATCGGGAGACCCCGAGAAGACAGTTACTGTCTTTATCACTCAGCCAAAGAGGACAGCACAGAACGTGAACAGATTTAAGTCACCACAGCTCAGCTGACAGAGGATCGCTTCCTTCTTCCCTTTCTTTGATCTGGTTGAGTTTTGTTGTCTGTAGCCAAGAACTGAATCAGCCTGCCTGCTTTCCACCTGAGCGAGCAGGCGAGTCACAGGAGCAGCCACTGTTGGAGGAAGAAAATGAATGCTCAGCCTCTGAAGAATATCCCAGCCCAAGAAGGCAGCCCTTCAGACAGTTCACTGGCCCAGGAGACGCCCCACTCACAAGCTGCCGAGATCTAGCTGTGGACGGGCTCCTGGCCCCGGCTGGCCGAGTTGCTGGCTGAGATGCGATGTTGTTGTCACAGCAGAGCCACACCTGAAACGGGCCCCCCAGCCCTGGCACGTGCGCCCTGCTCGGCCCCTGGTCGCCTTGAGCCTCTGAGCACACAGGGCCGTGGCCATGGTTTGCTTATTCCGGGACTGCTGGGGGAAAACAAGTAAAAGTCTCTTTTCCTCCCCATGCCATGTCCTGTGCTGCTTGTGTTGCATGTGCTGCGTTCCATGAACAGCCGCCGCCGCTTCCCTCTCGGAGCCCTTGCTGTGTGCCTGTGTCCCTCAGCTGCATGAAGATGTGTGCCCTCTCCTGACGGGTCTGTGCTGCAGTCACAAGACTGGCCTCTCACCCACCACAGTGCTGGGGCCCCAGAAGTTGCATGGAGAGGAGCAGCGGGGCTTTGAGGGCACTTAGGAGCTTCCCCCAACCCCTAGTGCCTGCGGGGACAGACTTTCAGAAATACATGAACGGTGACAAGGAACTGACTGGAGACTGTGGGGTGTTGGCTTCCCCTGACCTGTGGGCAGCAACCATGCATGTGCCGCTACGGCCTTGGTGCAGTTCAGCCCGCGGGGTGTGAGTGGTCAGCAGCACCTGAGGTTGGGAAGTGTGTATGCAGTGCCCGGTGGCCCTGTCCTTGGCCTGTTCACAGAAGTGGAGCTGCGTGTCCGCTGCTCTCTGGTCTTTTGTACATAGTTTGACTGCTTTATGGTAATGACCATGATGTGGCAATGCCATCTGTCTTCCTCTGAGTGCCGCTGCTACCGTCTTAATGGTTTTTCCCTTTTCAAGCGTCTGCCGATTCCTCTCTCGTCAGGTTCCAGGACGCTGGAGCAGAGCGTTGGGGAGTGGCTGGAGTCGATTGGACTGCAGCAGTATGAGAGCAAGTTGCTTCTGAATGGCTTTGACGATGTCCGCTTCCTGGTAAGTGCCTGTGAGCCTCCCTCAGAACTGGGTGCTGCACACTGGAAACGGGCTTTCCCAATGGCCTCTCCTGGAGTTTGAAATGGTACATAGACGTGTACTGGGGAACAGTCAACAGAAGTGGCTTATATGTCCAGGAAAGCAGCCTCATGTCATGTACCTTCTTTCCAAGCTGTGTCTGCTTCAGACTGCCTTAGCTCTGTGTCCCCACAACCCTTTGCACCTCCCTGTTACCCCTCTCAGATCTCAGTCTGTACAGCAAGGCACCAAAGCATACTTGTTCCAAGCCAGGCTTCAGAACAGGACACACAAGTTCCCTGTGGTGATTCTCATCACAGAGGCTGGATTTTTCCTTTATTTCTCAAAGCTTACCTGTCAAGTGAGTTTTCACTAAAGTTAAAAGCCTCATTTCCAAAAGAAAGACCCAGTGCCTGAGGTGGAGAGTATCTACAGAGCCTCAGGTACTTGTAACCTTCCAGCCCATCTAGCCAAGAAGAGGCTGAGTTGGTGGCTTGGAGGTTTGGTCACTTTGCTGAGGTAGAATTCTGTGTTCTTCATCCTAGTTGTAAAAGGGCTTGCTGCTAACTAAAAAGTCCATAGTTCTGTGGGAGAAAGATGTGTCAGTCTGCTCCTGTAAAGATTACAGTCTTGGAAATCCTGCAGGGAAGTTCTGCTCTGACCTGTAGAGTCACTGTGAGACAGAATTGACTCAAATGTAGTTCTTTTGTTCCAGAAAGCTTCATAACTAACCTTAATGCTTACATCCCAGAGCAGGTTGCTTCTGGGGCCTTAGATGCCTGAAGCAGGTGCTTAACGCAGTAATGGGAATAGCATGGACTTCCTGTAGGGTTTAATGTGTGGTAGTTAGGCTCTGTTCTTAGTGGTTTATAAAAATTAATACATTTAATTTTCCCAGTAGCCCTGAGGTTTATAGTAATATTATCATCTACATTTTCCAGATGAGGAAAATGACCCAGTGGTTAAGTTGTTTGCACAGCGTACACTGCCAGTGAACTAGCAGAGTAGGAACATGCACTCAGGCTCTGATTTCAAGGGATGTTGTTGTTAGGGACCATCAAGTTGACCAGGATTCATAGCAACCCTCTAAACAACAGATCTGAGCCTTGCCCATTCCTGCACCACCCTCATGATCTTTGCGTGCCCAAGACTATTGTGGCCATCTCTGTGTCAGTCCATCTCATTGAGGGTCTTCTTTTTCACTCCCCTGACCTTTCCCAGCACGATTTCTCTCTTTAAGAATTGATTCCTCCTGAAAATGTGCCCAAAATAAGTGAGACAAAGTTTCACCTTCTTTGCCTCCAAGAAGCAGTCTGGTTACACTTCCTTCGAGACAGATTTGTTTATTCTTTTGACAGTCCGCTATTCAAAGGCATCATACTTCTTTTGTCTTCTTTATTCATGATCCAATTTTTGATGTATAGGATGCAAATGAAAATACCATGGCTTGGTTCAGGTGCACCTTCAGGGGATGGAGGGGCCATACACCACACCGGTGGTACATAGTGCTTTATTATGTGTGGGTATGGAGATGGGGGATTTAGCCACAAATATGCTTGAGTCAGCATTCCTGGTTGGCCTTAACATTTAAGCACTTGACTGCTAACCCAAAGACTGATATTTTGAACCTCTCTAGAGGTATCTCAGAATGACAGTCTGTTTCACAGCCTAGAAATCTCTGTGGCAGGACTTCTACTGTGCTCCGAGAGAGTCTTCATGAATCAAAGCTGATTTGATGGGACCTTTTTGAACTTTATGGTTTATGCTTTAAGTAGTTTGTGTAGTTTATGCTCTCAGTAGTCTCAGAAGATTAGTTTGTGTTAACTCTAGCAAACCGTCCCTGTACCTCACCCTGGCTTCCTAACAGGCTGTTGCATTCTCTCATAATCCCTGTACTACAGTCCTGAGTTCACAGTGAGAGCCTTCCACCTCTGTAAGAAGCCCTGGTAGCACAGTGGCTAAGATGCCCAGTTACTAAATAAAAAGGTCATCGATTCCAACCCACCAGTCACTACACAGGAGAAAGATGTGGCAGTCGGCCTCTATAAAGATTTACAAAGATCCCCACAGGGCAGTTCTGCCCTGTCGTATAGGGTCTCTGTAAGTCAGAATCTCTGAAGTTAGTCTCTCTAACACATGCCCGTTTCACTCTTCTGTCTTGATTGGCACAGATCTCTTGCTCTCTTCCCTGTACTTTGCACTGTGGGTTTGTGGAGCCATTGAGGAGAATGAAGAAGGCTGCATTTGGTGCTTCAGAAATAGCAGCATGCCCCAAGGTGCTGGCCTGAGGCTTCCAGAGAGACCTTCACAAAGTAGCTCCTCCAACCCAACGCCTCCTCCTTTGTTGGGACAGACATTGAACTAAGGAATATGTTATCCTACCAAAGCGTGCTTTGAGGAAGTTCATGTTTCAGCTCATAAGTATCTTATTTTTAAAATACAAATTTATATTCTTTTTTAAAAATCAGGCTAAATTTATTTGTAGTTCTTGTGACCTAACCCCTGCCTAACTACCTTCCAAGTGAAAGGATGACAGCCCAGGGTGGAGGTGAGGTGGGGGCTCACCAATGGCCAGGAAGAGATGGTCACTGGCTTTCGGTGTTTAGAGGCCTCCCTCTGAGCAACTCTTGGTCAGAATGACTGTCAGGCAGGCACATGACGGACTGAAGGTTACAGGTGCCCCCTGCCTGTGTTGCCATGTTTTCAGTTCTGAACTATTGTAGCATATACTTGATGAGCTTTGACTTCTCACCCATCTTTGCTAATTTTGGAAAGAGTAAGCTTCTCAACCCTTAGACAACAAAGACTTAAAACTGCTTCCCTTCCACACCCTGTATCCTAACCAGAGAGTAACTGGGCATAATTATTATAATAATTTATATTCATATAAATCTGGGGAAGTCTGGCCTTCAGCCAAACTCTTGTAATGATGCAGGGCCTCTGTTAGAACATATTTGATCCTGTTAGAAGCAAATAGGGATCTCTGGTGGTACGGAGAGTTGTGCTGCTCACCCAAACGTGATGCCTCTGTGGTAGTTCACATGTCCCAGTCTCTCTGCAGGAGAAAGATGGACAGCCTTCTCTATGTGGTTTCCTCCTATGTGGTTTACAGTCTCTGAAAACCCTCTGGAGGGTCAGCTGTAAGTCTGTTCCAACTTGACAGCAATGAGTTTGAATTTGTTCTAGAGGAACACTTATCTAGGAAGACTATCAGCTCAGGCCTTCCCAAGTCTTCCAGTGCTCCCCACTCCTTGCTGGTGAGTACTCCTCACCACTTCCTTGGCCCTGTTCTCGGCTCATGCAGTGCCATCTGGTAGGCATAGTCTGTACCAGAAGTAATGCTGATTATACTCTGTTGAATGTGTTACTTCTGATCCTAGAGTGGCCTGAGTGGCCATGCAAAGCACCCTGGGTAATTGCGTGCAATTGCCAGATGGGCTCCATGGCTAATTAAGTTTTAGTGACCAGAGAATAAACAGGCAAAGACACACTCACACATGCACACATACACACAAATACAGAGATACATGAGAAGATGGGGGCATTTTTCATTATTGAAACATTCCCTCATTGCATATGGTATCATTTATGTCATATTAGCTATGGAAGAACCCTGTGCAATTTGGTTTTCACTACATGGCAAATGTTTCCTTTGGTTCTGAAATGCCCTAGAGACTCATCTACAAGATGAACAAGTAGCTTCCAAGAAGCCAGGCTCCAAATGTATTGGAAACATCTGGAAAGTGAGGGTTTTCACAGACTAGGCACTATTGTGGGATTGCCTTATGACAGGGTACAAGAAGCTTGTTGTGGGAAGAATATAAGATGGGAGAGACTTTAAGATCATGTGATCTAGCCTTCCCTTGATCCCTTTCAGAAAATCTCTTTCATGGTTTTCCAGTGACGGGGAGCTCACTACTTTACACAATAGTAGCCCATTCAATCTTTGCATTGCACAGACTGATTTAGAATGTTCTTTATATGAAATAAAAATGCATGTCCCTGTGGCTTCTGTCCCTTAGTCTCAGGTTTGCTCTTGAGGCCTCACAGAACACACTTAAGTCTTAAAAAAGGTGAAGCCTTCTTTCATGGCCTACCTGGACGTGACCCCTTTTCCCTTGGCTAGTTCTTCTGTGATGAGATTCCTGAGCTAGGCAAGAGAGCATGCAACTTGAACGTTATCTGGGTTCGCTATTTCCTATACTAAATGGGCCTTTGATTTGGGAGAATGAGAGCTAGGGTAATGGGGGCTGTATACGTTACCTAGGCTAATGGGGCTGACGCCAGAATATGAGAGACAGGTAGGTGGGGGAGGATCAAACCAATACCCCTGCTGGCCACTCTATCACTACTTGCTCATGTATCATGGTCAGCTCCATATTTCACTATAGATCTTATCCACAGGAAATGGGTTTTCTAAAGAGAAGGGGAGGAAATGCATTTAATCAGTCTGGAAAGAAAGTAATTAGTGGTTGACAAATTTCTGACTCCAAGCATGTTGGTGCAGATCTCAGCATCTGAAGACAGCCTGGCCTCCCTCTATTTGTTCTTGATTGATGACGGTCCTGATATTGAGTGTTACATGGACATGAAAAAACAAGACTTTTTTAAAAAAAAACAAAAACAAACAACCAATAACCCAAAACATGATTTTGAAGAATATCTGATGTAGGGAAAGGTCCATCTTGTTGAGTGAAAAACTCAAGACATAAAAATGCGTTATACAATATGATGTTAATTTTGCAAGAAGAAAACCTGTACACAAGGTAGCCAGATGTGGTTGCCTCTGGAGGATTACAGGTAGTTTCCTTTTCTGTTTTGGAATGTAATAGATTTTCTGCATTTCTTACAGGGGATGAAATCAGAAAAGCAAATAACATAGGTGTCTTTATGGTCCAACTGGGAAAACAAGGCACAGAAAACAATAAAAAAACAATAGATTAGTTAAATGTTGTGGTAGACTCATAAGTGCTGCGAGAGCA